GAGATTGGATTTATACCCCACCCTTCACTACCCAAAGGTGTCTCAGAGTGGCTTACAAACTCCTTTCCCTCCCCCCCCCCACAACAGACACCCTGTCATCCAGCCAGGTGCAAGTGGAGGAGTGGGGGGAATCAAACCCGGTTCTCCCGGATTAGAGTCCGTGCATTTAACCACTACACCAAACTGGTGTAGCGTACTGCACCACATCCTACCTCTAAATCTTCTCTCCTTTCTGAGCACTGGGGGCGCACTTCTGGATGAGTATACAGTTACAGCCTAGGATCTTACATTGGGAGGGGGGGTTGTCTATGAAATCTGACTTTCCAGGCAGGAGAGCATCCAGCCAGTCAATTCCTGATGCAGAGATGGGCTCCTCTGGGTGCTCCCCCTACTGCTTCGGCGTCTGACAGCCAGGCTGCGTGACCCTCTGCGGGAAGGGGGCTGAGTTCTGATAGGAGGGTTAGCTTGTCATGATAATTTGAGAGCCTACCATGATACGAAACGGCACCTTCTAGCTCCAGAAGTTACGCTAGAAAAAAATCTGTGGAAGCCTTTTCCAGTGGGTACGGGTGATGTAAAAACTGGATCTGTTTTGCTTGTTGTAGGCTGTTTCCTGTGAAGCAGGAGGGGTGGGAGGTGTCGGTGGATTATATTCTTCGCAAATGATGCTCTCATCAGCCTTTTCCTTCTGCTGTTCATATGAAGCTGTCTTTAAGGCAGGGACATCCTTATGGTCCACTGTTAGAGCCATGCTGCCTGGGGAGCTTTTTATGCAGAAAGGCCAAGGAATTGCACAGAGGCCCTTCGGTATAGAAAGGATGTGCCTCTGTCATACAGCCGTGGCACCACCTTTTTGTGGCAAGCATGCCAAGTGAACTACTTCAATTGTGTGTTTAGGATTATAACTGTCCGAAGCTGAACTGCTGTGAGAGACATTGGTCGTTCCCTCTTTGCTGGTATTTTCTAAGAGATGGGAGTCTGCCCTGTGAAGGGCTTTCTGTGGTTTGGTCTGTGAACTTTCTGTAAGTAATTGGGGGGTGGGGAGTGGAAATGGATGAACAAGAAATCTGACAAAATAAGGAAAGGAAAAGCAATATTTTCAAAGTAAGAGTCCTTGGAGGTTGATTTCTAGTACTGCTGGACTAGATTCCTCTGCAGTCTGCACCTACAATGGTGTGGGGTCAGGCCAATGAGCAAGAAAGGGAAGGCTAGGATTAAATAAATAGAGGAGAAATGGGCTGTAGGGCAGGGGGGGGACAAAGAATTGTCCACTCCTGCCTCCCACTAATAGGTCTGTAAAGTTGACCTGGCTCTTGAACTAAGGGCTAGAGTAGAGAACAACAACAGTGAAAGTCTGTTGAACTTTCTCCCTACTCATCTCTGACTTCATGAGTGGAACACTAAACCAGCAGTTCTTCTACAATTGTATATATTACCTATAAAATGTAGTATATAAGTATGAACGTTTTAAGTATTTGTTTCACTAAAGTGTTCAGAGCAAAAATCCTTTCCTCTTACACCTGAACTAAATCCCCTACGGCCATCTGAAGTTTAAAAGGGCCCTTTTCCCGGGCAGAATTTCTGCCCTTTCCGACGTGTCAGTTGGATTCTAGGCGCGGAGCAGCGCCCCCTCACTTTTGTTGCACTGAGCTGAGGGGAAAGGAGCGCACTTGTCTAACTTCCTCCCCCGAATATCGCTCACTTTTGGGCTTCAGGGCGCGGGGTCCAGGCGAGGCGAGCTGCTCCCCCGCCTTCCTTCTCTATGCTATATATATCTCTCAACCCACGCATCGGAAAAGCGGCGGAGCTTTCAAACTGGCCCGCTTTGCGGGCTGCAAAGAAACCAGAGCGGCGGGAGGGGAGGGAGAGAGAAAGAAGGAGAAACAAGGCGAGCCCTCTCCTCCCGGCCCCACCTCCCGCGCCTGGGCGGACCTGCACGGGAGAGGGCGTGGACTGGCGCTGAGGAAGGGTCCGCTCTTTTTCGGCGCAAAGTCCCCTTCGGCCTCGCAAAGCGCCGCTACAGCTCAAGGGAGCGGGACAGTTCGGGGCTTCGCCTCTGCCTCTGTCCGCCTTGGCTTCAGCACCTTGGAGAGCGCCTTGCGTGGCACGGCGGGGGAGAGAAGCCGCGGCGGCACCAGGGCGCCCCCTGGGGACCGGCGAGGCCAGCGAGGAAGGGCGAGCGAGTTGGGCGGCCTCCCGCGCTCCGGTCCCTCCCCCAACATACACACGTGCTGCCACCTGGAGCCGGAGCGGACGCGGCTAGACGGAGCGAGCCAGAGCCGCGATCGAAGGAGGCTCCGGCGCCTCGGTGCTTCCGTTTCCCCGCCCCATGGAGCGCGCCCCCCTTCGCCCCTAACGCTGCCCGAGTCCAGCGGGGATGGCATCGCCGGGAGACCTGGAGCCCGCTCCGTCCAGAGTGCCCGCCACCAAGGTGGAGCTCACCGTGTCCTGCAGGTGAGGAGGACTGGGCGGGGGAAGGGGGAGGAGAGGCACCCCTAATTCCAACCCCTTGCCCCCCTCGACTCTCACAGGAGGGGAGGGCAGCGGAAGATTTCTCCTCAGCATGTACTGGACTAGGGGGAGGGAGGACGGAAGGAAACGCCTCCCGCCTTGAAAGCCTGCCTGATGAGCATGGGGTTGTATGGATGTAAACAGTCACAGTGGTAGGGAACATGGGGGTTACACACTCCTACGAAAGTGGCTCGAGTATCCCGTGCACCTGTGGGTATCTGGGCACACAACACCCAAATACGTTGCAATACACCCTTTCTGTTTCATGAGCCCAATGAATGGTCTGATCTGTGCAGTGTCAGGGGAAGTGGGGTGCAGGGTATGATGTGTGTTCTTTTGGGTAGTTCTTGTACAGTTACATGTGTATCGCTCATATGTACCATACCGGTCAGTTTTCTGTATGACATTTCCGTGTATGTCTTTGTCGTTTGGTGGTTATATTGATTCACAAACATGCATGCGCATATGGGAGTTTCCCCCCCAGTAACATGATCCTTCTCAGGACTGTGGTCGACTTCCATACATGTATCCTGATGAATGTGCAGGTGTTTATAGTATGCTTTCAGGTTGGTGCATACAGTGTGAATGACTGGTGTTGTGTGTGTATGTGTGTGCATATATATATGTGTGTGTGTGTGTGAGTTTGTCAGTGTGTTTTATTTTCATACATGTACTTTGCTCTGGATGTTTCCTTGAGCATGTGGCTCATGATTCTTGAATGTGGCTAAACCCTACTGTGTCCAGATGTTTTCTTCTCCATCCAAAAGCTTGCAGCACTTGCTTTGCGCAAGCATCCTTGTGTAGATGTGGGGTGCTTGAACCCTAGGGTTGGAAAGAACCAGAGGACCATTAAGTCCAGTTCTTTACCCCATCCACACGCCAAACCTCTAAAGATCAATCCACCCTTGTAAGTTGCAGCAGTCAGAAGCAGAAGAGTACAAGGGGCACCGCTGGTTGCAGCGGCAGGGATGCCCGCAAAAAAGAGAGAGGCACCAGGTGACTCGAGAAAGTGAGCTATGCATTGTCAAGGAAGGCCAAAAAAAATTCTTCCAGGATCGCTAAGCCAGTCTGGCCTGGTGTGAGGGGAGGCAAGTCCCATCGCAATGAAATCTAATTCTCAATATGGGCCAGCTATAGCAAGCTTTCTGACCTTGTAGCCAAGTTTCCACCTACAAAGGATGCCTGTTGGCTAACCCATCACCAAATTATACATTCAGAATAACTTCATAGTACAGCTCTCCTGGGACTATATTACAGCAGAATGTTGGCAGGGGAGTCATGTATTTAAATGCTCCTTTATGTGAAGCTCTCTGTCACCTCCACCTGCCTGTGTATGAAAACTGTACACCGAGTAGCGTTTCTAACTTTACACGGGCTATTGTCGTGTTTTGTTATACGAGAGATTTCATGTGCTTTCCTTCAGCTGAATTCTGAAGTGGAACAGTCCCAGGAGGACTGTCTCACGCGATCCCTCTGAAAGTATGGATCAGCCTTTAAGGCTCGACCATGTTCTGTGGTGTACAGTTCTCCGTCCAGCGCCTGCTCACTCACTCCTCGAGTCGAGCCAGATCCAGGCTGAATCCTGACCAAAGTGCAAGGTGATGTTTCGTGCCAAGATGTTTTATTTTGCCTCCACCAGCCTTTTCATTCCCTCAGGGCTTCGGAGGAGGCTGTGTCATTGCCCCTGGTGTTGAGCTGGGGAGCAGAGCAGGTAGTAACTGGGTGAGGGTGGGGAATGCCAGAAAGATAAGGGGATACCTTGCGTCAGATCCAGTTCTCTAGGTTCAGGAATGGGCAGTGCAAGCTTTCAGGTTGTGTAGCATGCTTGCAATGCAATCCTAGGCATGTCCACACAGAAGCAAACCCCATTCTACTCAGTGGGGCTCACATTCAGGTAAACGTGTGTAAGACTGCACCCTTAGTTTGTCAAGTCACGTGGAATGGCAGCTCAGTGTTCTCCTTTTTTCCTTGCTGGAAAAGAACATGGGTTAGATATCCTCAGGGACGGACTGTCCCTTGAAATTGCCAGGAAAGTTCCTGATGTGCTCCTGTCCTGGAAGGTTACTGGCAGCCAGGGACAAGCTAAGCCCAGTGGGGCTGGCGATGCTGCTGGGTCTGCTCAGTTCCAACTTGGCTGCAATGACGATTGCCCTGGGTACCGGCCTGCCCATTGGGGTCACTTGGTCAGCTGGCTCCAGGGCTGTTAAAGCATCCCAGTCCACTCCCGGATATCTTCCTCCTCCTATCTGCCAGTTTGTTTCCTTCATCAAGCAGAGTAGATGCCACTGGTGGCTGCCTGAAACAAAACAGCAGAAGGGATTTCCTCGTGTGAAGAAGGGGTGTCCCTTCTGTATTGGAAAAGATTCTTGGAACAGCCAAGATGAACACATCCTGAAATGTTGGTTTGGCGTTTTGTCACAGAAGAAAGCATTTCTACACACCCGCTCCCCCCCCCCCCAGCTAGCTATGGAAACTTCTTGCACCCTTGGAGGGTGATTGTTGCAGCTCAGAGGGGGGGTGTTCTCATCCAGGCACAGCTTCAGAAACACGACCTTCTTTCCCCCCCCCCTCCCCATGCTTAGAGGCCAGTTTGGTTCTGCTGAAGTGTGGATGATATTGCTATTAAGTATTTGAAAAGCTGTCACTTAGAGGAGGGCAGAGAGCTATTCCCGTTGGCAGCAGAGGACAGGACACGCAATAATGGGTTTAAATTACAGGAGGAAAGGTACCAGCTGGATATTAGGGTGGGTGGATTTATAGGAAGAGTAGTCCAGCAGTGGAATGGGCTGCCTAGGGAGGTGATGAGCTCCCCCTCCCTGGCAGTCTTCAAGCAGTGGCTGGATGAACACTTGTCAGGGATGCTCTAGGCTGATCCTGCATTGAGCGGGGGGTGGACTAGATGGTCTCTATGGCATCTTCCAGTTCTGTGATTCTGTGAAAGACCTGGTCTTACTGCTGAGCACTAAAGCTGGCTCCTCAAGTCAAAACCCAGTTCAGAATCCTGATATGTCTATAGCAAAAAAGTGAGTGAGTTTCTAGCCCACATGATTACCAAGTCTTTAAAAAGGCAGTCCATTTCTGCCTCAGGCTTAGAAACTGAGAGAGATACAGAAAGACACTTTCAACAGGGATGCCTGGCATTGCCCCTCCCCCCACTCTAACATACTAATTTTTTCTCCCCTTCTTTTTTGACATCTCAAACCTGTTTCCCTTGCCCAGTTCAAAAACTAAACACTCATTCCTCCAAACATTCTGTGAGCATTCCAGTTAAGTATATTTTTTTGCAAATACGTTGCATGTGCATAAGTTATTCTAGTAGCAAAATATAGTTTGGTTTATTTACTTATTTATTTTTAAATCTGGTTGCAGAATTTGAAGGCAGATGTGATCACGTTGGTGTTGAATGTTAGACCTCCTGAGCACATGCGGATTAGGGTGAAATCTTTTCTTCCTCTGTGGGAACCAGAGGCCGAGAGGCTGGCCAGGAATAAAGCTAGAGGGATGGGAGCGATTAGAAGAAGAAGAAGATGAGATTAGATTTATACCCCACCCTTCACTACCCAAAGGTGTCTCAGAGTGGCTTACAAACTCCTTTCCCTTCCCCTCCCCACAACAGACACCCTGTGAGGTGGGTGGGGCCGAGAGAGCTCTTGACAGAAACTGCTCTTTTTTCAAGGACAGCTCTGATCAGAACTATGGCTTGCCCAAGGTCATCCAGCCAGGTGCAAGTGGAGGATTGGGGAATCAAACCCGGTTCTCCCAGATAAGAGTCCGCAGACTTAACCACTACACCAGACTGTCTCTCTTAGGGAGAAGAAAGGGGGTCCTGGGCTGCTGGGAGAAGGCTGGAGCCAGCACAATGCCTATAGCCAATCTCTCCCAGTCCCTGGAGGCTGTGTTTAAAAATAGACCTGAATGGACAGAGAAAAAGAAGCCGCCGCCAGTCGTCCAGTTAGGGAGAGGAGAGTGGTTTCCACATGCGATCGGCATCTGCCCACTTTGCTGGGAGAAGAGCAGAAATCCATGCCTTCCCACCCCCCATGAACAGAAGGGATCTAGTCTCGTTGCCAGCCGGATCGGTTGTGTCACTGCTAAAGAAGCCGAGTCAGTTCTCAGCTGGGGGGGGGGGAGCTGGGCAGAGGGCAGAAAATGCCACCCCTGAGCAGGGAGATGCATCAGAGTAATCCCATGGCTGACAGAGCCTCCGTGGGTCAAGGCGACATGCCTCTGGAGGACAGGGGTGCTGCCTTCCAGGCCTGCTGGGGGTGAGAGTCACAGGAGCGCGTCTGCCTGACTGCCGAACATAAGACTGGAGGTCCCTGCTGAAGGCATGGACTCAGTTCTTTGCTAGGGGCCGGGGCAGGGTCTGAGCCAGGGAGATTTTCTAAAGCCTTGTTCAGGCATCATTCCGAACATAAGACTGGAGGTCCCTGCTGAAGACGTGGACTCAGTTCTTTGCTAGGAGCCAGGGGCAGGGTCTGAGCCAGGGAGGTTTTCTAAAGCCTTGTTCAGGCATCATTTGGTCTGATCATTGTGCCCACGCATCGTGAAGCCCACTGGGTGAGCTTGAGCCATTGGTTTGCACAGTCTGACCTCCCTCGCGGGGTTGTTCTGATGGTAAAACAGAGGAGGGGAGAGCCAGGCATGACTGCCTTCCCGAGCTCCTTGGAGGAAGGTCAGGGTAAAAATCGGATAGGCAGGTAGGTAGTGGTTAGGAGCATGGATTCTATTCTGGGGAAACCAGGTTTGATTCCGCACTCCTCCTCATGCAGCTGCTGGTGTGACCTTGGGTCAGTCACAAGTTCTCTCAGAGCTGTTCTCTCAAGGGCAGTTCTCGGGAGAGCTCTCTCAGCCCCACCTACCTCACAGGCAGTGTTCCCTCTAAGCTGAGTTAGTGTGAGGTAGCTCACAGTTCTTTAGCCTCCGGCTCACACATTTTTGCC